ACATTTCATAAATAATAACCAGGCACTTTACTATGAAAACTTCTAAAAAACTTCTCAAACAATATTGAATACGCCTCTCGACCTGTCAGTTGGTCAAACTTTTTGTTCAATATGTCAAAAGTTGTTACAAAAGGTCAGTGTGTTGAGGAAAATTTTCTGGCAAAACGCCCCTATACCCTTATTGTGGGAAAACTTAACACATTTTTAAACAGGTTTAATTAAAACATCTTGCTACCCTTAAATGTTATAAATTGAGTAAATTAAAAAGCTAGATTTATTCGCAAGGATTCCGATTCTAGGGATATTAGGGTGGGGTAAACTATCATTGGGCTTTTTATGATTTTTGCAAGCATTAAGTGTGAAAGTGATAGTAATATGCTTCTGTACGAAAGAGTCAGCTCGACTGGCATACCTACCACGGCCTTATAAAAACCGGCGTGAAAGAATCATTTCGTTGTTTCACCCAGTGAGTAAGGTTATCGGAGGCCCAATCCTACCCTTCGCCCCTCGCTCCTTAATCCCTAAATCTCCAAAATTGAAATCTCCAAAAGGCAAGCAATGTACTGGCAACGCTTCTGCTGTTGTGGGAGTCCATGGGCGTCGCCGATTGCTTATCATCAGGTAATCCATTCGCCATCTTATCACAAAAAATGCCTGGATCTTCGTCCCAGTGTATAACAATAAGCTCAACCTCTATTACATGGTAGTGATAAAACAATTGGTGAAAAGTTGGAGTGCATTGTGTTTCTGATATCAAGTCACGTGGACGAGATGAAAGCTGGGGTTGCGGGCTCAAGGGCAATCATGTAAAACTCATCAACCTTGTAACACTTCGGGAATAGGCAATGAAATCTGGGTCCCAAATTTTATTACCTGTTTGTAAAGTCAGTTTTAGTTAGTCGACGTTGAGTAATTTTGTAAATACCTATGTTGTTTTGTATGGCTAGCCCAACCCTTACTCGTAAGAGTGATAAAAACACGCTACATATATGAGACCTGGCTGTGGCTGGATGGGGTTTCGGGAAAAGCGCAATGACGTTCCGTGGCCAGGAACAGGAGAAGGCGTTGTTATTTAGTTGGTATTAAATCAGTTATAGTCTGTGACTCTATCTCGTCCCACCTAAGACATTGACTGAATTATCCTCCGTAAAAGAGGTTTTTACCCATTATTAGCACTGTTCCTTAACCTATTTGTTCGGGAGAAAAAAAATGTTAAAATAACCAACTAGTTAAAATCAATACTTTAATCTAAATGTCAAAAACGACACCTTTCTATGAAATTCGTATGAAATACTGTGTTATGACGTCATAGTATCTTAAAGTCAAATAGCTTACTTATTTCTTAAAAATTAGCTGAAAAATATCTAAAATGTTGTGTATTGATCGATCGATGAATAAAGTATAGGTATTGTATTGAAACGTCGAATTAATTTATTTAATTGCAATAAACAGAAACAGTTGTAAAATAAGTTTACCTCTTACGAAATTAGAAAGTAGCTATTCGATTACAGAGACCAAAGCAAACCGAAATTTAATAAAAAACAGAAAGAATTTAATAAAAATAAACCACAACAAACGAATAATTTAAGTAAAATTCCCTTTTCGAGTATTCTTTATGAGAAAGGAATTAATAATGTTGAGCTTGTCTTGACCTCCGGTATTTGTATAAGGAAATTTTTCTTTCGCAAATTTGTTCTCATAATTCCTCGTTAATACACCCTTTTGTTAAACAGCTCCATTTAATATCGGTACAGAGATTATATTTCGATTGTTAAGAATAAAAATCTTGTTGAAACCATCATCTTTTTATAATCTATTTCTTATTAATATTATCAGTTTTCTATGTGAACCTGCATTTTAGTTGAAATGTCCAGAATAAATTAGAAAAAAATTACTAACTTGTAAAAAAGTAGACTAACGCGTAAAGTTTATACGAAAAGTAGGTTTGTTTCACTTTGCCAAAAACGCCATCTGTTAGTTTATCCTTGAACTCTGTGGTAGGAGCAATGTTTGACAGTTATGTTGACACTTAGGTACATTTTTTATCACTTCATGTTGTCGCACACAATTTATTCTAAACCATCGATCACTAATAAAGAACTAGATACACAATCCCATACAAAAGTTCGCTTCAAAACTGTCGCCAACTGTATTTAGTAGTACTTATACTTGAAATAAACATGCATTAATGTAAATTAAACCTTAAATACAACTCATAGAGTTGTTTTTACAAAGTGATGTACAAAATCTTAATACTTTTTGCGACCGAAGCTCTTGACAAACATAAATCATAAGAAATTGAACCATATTCGCATGTTTTTAAGTCGAATTTACAAAGTGTCAAAAATAAGCAATAAAATTTAACGACTTCGGCTCACCGCTAGGACAAAGAATGATTGAAGTCGAAATGTCTCGTAAGAAATATATTTCTTTCGTATTTTATAATTTATCAAAAAAAGAAAATACGCAAATTAAAACGCATTACTTATAGTATTCTTTTCTATAGGTTTGTTCATTTATTTACCAATGAAACTAATGCATATAGTTATAATTCTTTTTTATTATTTTCGTCCTCCTTAATCCTTTCTATTCGAAGTCAAATAAAAAAGATGTAAAATAATAAAAAGAATTGTATATCTAAAGTAAGTACTGAAAATGTTGGCGTTATTGTTGTCAATTTTTCATACCGCACGGGTCTTGATGAAAGCTAAAAAAAAAATTTCTTTACTGCAGTTAAAATTAAATCCATTATCCATTACATCTGCCTATTCCATATTTTAATAAACACAGTAAAGAAGTATAATATTAAATAAAAACTATTTTTTAATAAAAAAAACAATAAATAAAATTAGAAACAATAGCGTCTCCACTAAACGGAACAGAATCAATCCACGTAAACCGAACAACTTAAGTGGTCATGCTAGAGAATGATTTTAAGTTTAGTATAAGTGTCTTTATAAACTGTGTGCATTATAACCCCGGTTTTTGAATACGATTTCATTTGGAAAAAGTTTTAAAGTTGATTTCTTAATAAAATATCAATATTTAAAATAGAATGATGATAATTATATAATGATAATATTATTACTTAACGAAAATATGAAATTCCATCCTTTTTTGCATCTTAGATGTGTGTTTTTTGCAGTTTTTTAACGAGCACTGAGGCGTGTTTACCGTCGTAGCATTCGAGTGGTACTAAACTAAAACACCGCGATGTTGAGTTTGGTGGACTTTCAGTTAGGACATTTTTTTGTCACTGATTGTGTATCTAGTTCTTTATTAGTGATCGATGTTCTAAACAGATTAACAGAACATATAATTATGGATTTGGACACTTTGGCAAAAGCGCCATCTGTTAGTTTGTCCTAAAACTCTGTGGTAAGAGCAGTGTTTGACAGTTATGTTCACACATAGGTACATTTTTTATCACTTCATGTTGTCACACACAATTTATTTTAAACAGATTAACAGAACATATAATTATAGATTTATTTTAATATTGTTACACTAGCGACTCGCCTCGGCTCCGATCGAGTGTAATATTGATGCTAAATTTCTTCACTACTTAAGTAATGGGTGTTATTATATACACAAAACGCATCTTCAATCACTCTACCTATTAAGAAAACAACAACAAAATCCGTTGCATATTTTTAAAGATATTTGTCTGAAAAATATATATAGATATATTAACATATATTGGGAGAAAGAGAGCGATTTTGTTTTATACTATGCAGTGGTAGGTAAACCATTCATAACATTCTCAATTCATTTGCCATACACACAAATGTAAACTCAGTAGGTACTTGGATATTTTTCCAAAAATGAGCAACCTTGTAACACTTCGGGAATAGGCAATGAAATCTGGGTCCCAAATTTTATTACCTGTTTGTGAAGTCAGTTTTAGTTAGTAGACGTTGAATAATTTTGCAGATACCTATGTTGTTTTGTGTGGCTAACCCAACCCTAACTCGTAAAAGCGATAAAAACACGCTTATAGCCTTAAGTGTATGCCAGGTAGCTGTGGGTGGATAGGTTTGTAGAAAAAGCGCAATGACGCATCGCAGCCCAGCAGAAGAAGGAATGGGATGGTTTTTAGTCTAGGTATATGAGACTGACACTCCCTGTCACATGTCACTCCCACCCAAAGTGAGACGAGTCATTAAATAATTCTCTGCTAACAAAAAAACGGCGTCAAACGACCACACGGATCTTGGAGGATTAAGAATTGGTGAGGTGAAAATTGGAGGGAAAAGGATAAGGCCTCCAATAATCTCACTCAAAAGGTGACAATGGTGGTTGTTTTACATCGTGGTGTCATTCCAGTTGAGCCGGCCCATTTGTGCCGCATGACTCTTCCACACACTAGCTGTTATTTTGGTCCTGTTGTTACAAATCAGTATCTACAACAATAGAGATTCAAACATCTACTCTATAAAGGCTTTTTGATTGATTCTGACTCATTTACAAGCCTCTTAAATCCTGCTGTCCCAAAAAACATCATGTGGGTAGCAAATCATTTTAATTCTACAAACATCAAAAGGCAACTTTAAGAATCGTCACATAAATAAAGATGGCGCTACTAGTCTTACGTCTTAATGCTCCTACTTAATGAATTAGTTTGACAAAGACATTAGGCCGCCATTTGCAAAACAATTAATTATTTTGCTACTTACGTCTTTTGCCATCTCTATTCGGGATGGAAGCTCTATACTTGTTTATGATGCCAATGTTTCTAAAATACTTTATCCCAAATTCTTTGGGACGACTCATGTCTTCATAAAAATTGACAAAATATACATAATTATATGTACACCTAGACACATAATGATTCAGATTCGAACAAAATCTTTATATTATATTGCATTTTTTTATTATGTCGCGAGTTTGGGTGTATTGGGTGCATACGTGACGTTGTACGCTAGAAGACACCCATACGACAAAAGGAAAAGCTCCTTGCATAGGGTACCGTTTAAAAAATTAAGGTATTCTTAACTCACTTAGACGCTGGATTGATGTGTATGAAGCCGACCTTCACGGAGACCACGTTGTCTTGGCGCTCGGAGGGCGTCGTGCAGTGCGACGAGCAGTTTTCCACTTTCAGCGTGTGCGGAGGTGGCATCGCGCTGAGGACAAATAACATATTTACTCATGTATTCATTAAGACGACCAGTATTTATTTCTAGATTTGAAATAGTTACAATTTAAACGGAATCTTAATTATATAAAATCTATTTATAGGGGCTTTAACGCATAATATCAGCCCCATCATACTATAATTCTGTCAAATGAACTTGAACATAACCTGCACATCGCCACCATTGCGTTGGAAAATGAATAAGTGGAACATAATCAACTTTTCAAATTTAGGACCCAACGAATTCAGGTACTCAACCAAATTTAGGTACTCAACCAAATTCAGGGACCCAACAAAATTCATGGCTCCAACCAAATTCAGGGACCTGACCAAATTTGAGGGACCTGACCTCGGCCCAAAGTAGGAGAAGGAATGGTGGGGTTTTTAGGCAATAAGAGTCTGACACTCCCGTCCGCCCGGCACTGGGCGGAAAAAGTCATTTGATGGTTTTCCCTTAACAAAAAAATCAAATTCAGGGACCATATTCAGGAACAGAACCAAATTTAGGGACCCAAACAAATTCCGAGACCCAACCAAATTCAGGGCCCTAACTAAATTCAGAAACCAAACCAGATTCAGGGACCAAACCAAATTCAGGGACCCAACCAAATAGGATTTTTTGTCAATAAAAACGAAGTGAATGTAAGCAGCAAACAATTTATTAGACTAAGTCAAAGACAAAAAGCCCATTTCTCTCGGACTCATACCGGACACCTTCCAGAATTAATGTAGGTTCTCAACAATTGTCAAAAAAATCAGTGAGGAATGTAAATTCCTCACTGATTTTTTAATTAAAAATGCTACAAACCCGCTTACAGATTCTGTTTTAACAAAATATTACATTCTGACATTTTGGTTATGAGATGAGATGAGAACTTCAACTATGTGTGTAATAATTTATTTATTTATTTATATATTTATTAAATAAAAAAAAAAATAATAATATATTGTATTCTAATTTGTATTGTATCCAAGTCTTGACATATTTTTGTTTGTACCGTATATCAATTTTAATTTCTTAATAGGCATTAAATAGTTTACATAATTTAAAAACAACAAATTTTTAAAAACAAATTACTAATCGATAGATATGTGACATACGGTGAAGGAAAACATCGTCAGGAAACTTGGACTTATAATTACTAATTTTAAGTTTGAAATCGCCAATTCGCCTTGAGCAAGCGTGGTGATTAGTGCTCAAACCTTCTCCGTGTGGATTTATAGGCTGATGATGTGATGTGTGTGTGATAGATATGTGAGTACCATAAATTAATGATAATGATGCGAAAAAGCACACTATAAAATACTTTGACATTACATAAAGTCTTACACATGCACCCTAACTTAACAGTACATTTAAATACATATAATATCCAGGTGTCTCAAGTTGAGACTCTCAATATGAAAAAAAGAAAATATGAAAGTAATGAAAACACATTAGTACATATAAAACTAAAAATAAGTATATCCAATTCATTTACAACCAACAATATGTTGAAAGTTGAAATTTAAAATGGAAAAGTTGCATGGATTTGACACGGCCGGCCTTAAGGTATTTAGAGGACTTATTGTACAAGTTTAACAGCATGGACCAAAATAATAAAAATTTTTGTGCATTGTCTATCAATGTCAATACCCTCGGGTAGATGGATATATTTTATACACGTTAAACACAAATAACACATAAATCGATACTCTTAATAACAAAATACTTCAGTCAAGTAATGTACGGTATAAAAATATTATTCCCTACATCATCTAACTTTACGCATAAAACGATTTTACTGTAATACTTTATAAAACATTCACACACTAGTTTTACGCTAAGCAAGAACCACTCCTAAGTCTATTGGAATAAAGGTTAAATTCTTATGTTACTAGAAAAGTTCTACAATTTAATTAAGCGAAAATGAACCTTACGGTTTTCGATATAAAGATCAAAGTGTCATTGCATCTAGCATACGTGTCGCATTGAATATCGGGCGATTAGTATGTTTTCGATGGCGCCTGGTAAACGGTCGAATTGTTAGCGATCAATGCTTAATATCGAGGCAACATAATATCACTCTTGCCATTATCTAAGGAGGTGGGCAATAATAGACTTTATGTGGTTAGGGACAGAGATTAAAGTTGCCTAAGATAGGAAGATAGGAAGATACGAAGAACCAAAGACCAAGATGGATGACCATGCTTGGTGGCCAAGTTCAAGATTTATCTTTTTTTTTTGAGGAGGAGAAATCATCAAATCCCTTCATCCACCACCTTTTAATCAAGACTCTCCTGCTTTGGGTGGAGCGAGACAGACAGAAGGGACTTACAGACTAACTAACTAACTAACTAAATTACCCTGTTCCTTCCTCTGCTAAGGGATGGGGCAGCGGTATATTATGGCGCTTGCACTAGCAACCCCGGCTAAAAAGTTGTCCTTTGGATCCATTTACCCAGTTCAATCGCGCGCAAACTTAACTTAAGCGATGTAGGATTTGTGACGTCATCAGTTAATTCTACCTATTATCTGTCGTCGACTCTCCTGGATGCATCGCCACCTACGACTCATTTAAATATGCGGTCCATACAGCAAAAAGCTACTAAAAACATTTAATCAGTGTCATGCCAGAATTCAACTGGAAACGGCGGATTTAACAAAATGTTTCTGTCATAAATTTAACGTAATTTAATGTACTTATTGCATTCAGGCGACAATGGGCGTAATACATATAGGTACCTTAAAAACGAATCCACAACCCTGACTGAACATCAGCTCTATAGGGCCCCGTCTGTGTATAGAGAAGTGGTGGTTTTATGTATTAATTATACGTTAAATAATAGTTATTAGTTTAGGGCTGGTGTTCAGCCGGGGTTGCGGGGTAAACGCAATGTGGCACCGCAGCCTCAGCCCAGAGGGAACGGGGGGGTTTTAGTCAGTAAGAGTCTGACACTCCTCCCCGGCCGACCGTGAGCGGAAGAAGTCATTTGATGAACTACTTGTATGTACCTCTCACCAAAAAAAAAAGTAGTACTTTGTCATTGTGCGTCCATATGGAACACGTCCGCGGAAGCGACGGAACACCACATCCTGTGGCCAGAAACTCTCAAAACAAATAAACAGCTACATTTGAAAGTCGCACTGTAAAAAAATTAAGTCAAACTAACCAACCGCATAGAGCGAAACCAACTTGATATTATGCATAAAAATTCCCCACGAACATACACTTTGATGCTAGAAAAATACACTGCATTTTCCTACTGCTCTATGAATAATATTTTTCAGGGCGTATTTTCGTAGTAGCACACTGAGAAATTAGCTTACATAAATACAAAATGTCTTTCGTAAGAAATATCTGTGTTGTCCCAGGCCCAGGCATGAGTCTGGGTGTGATGGTTATGTGAACTGGTATGTTTGTAAACGCACCAAAGTTTAAAAAAAACCGCTTTCTTATGTTAAATCTGTAATGAAAGTTTCTGCTGGTTCTCTCCCTCCAAAAAAAAAGACTAAGACGTGTCTATTTCTTTTAATACCTAGGTATGGTATTACAATAAGAAAAGAGAAATAAAGCCGAGACCATAGTATCACTCTGGTCGAGTCGACCCACTCATGCCGAAGCTCGGCTCTCCCACACTTATGTAACTTAAGTAATTTACTGTGTACTTATTATCTATTAGACAACAGACAATAGTTCTCATTAGCACCTCAAGTGTTTTCTTTATAGCCTAGACTGAGCTTAAATTACTAAAAAGTTTGTCGAGAATATTCAAACTCTTTGTACTACTTACAACAACAGTCTCTTTTGTGCATTTAAAGCTTGAGTCATTCTGTCTCCTGCATAAAATTAACCGAGGGAACTAAAAACTATTTAGTTTTTTCTTCTCCTCAAATAATATCTGCTGATTTATTTCGTTGCGGGAACCAAGACGCTCATTCATGTCCCTGGGACGCGCCGGACTTCAGTGTTCCGGTGTTTTTTATGTTTGTATCTACTATAGATCCTGGCTTACAGAAGTTGCAGCAGGTTTGGGAGGTTGAGGGCGGGATTGTCCCATAAAAAACTACTACGGAATGCTCACCAGTCTCTTTTAAACAAGCACAGTCTCTTGTCATTTTCACATTATCTGACCACGCTATAATTATAGTTATGTATGTATTTTATGTATGTTTGTATGTACGTGCGTATGTATGCATGCATGAATATATATTGCTTGTAAATGTTTTTAATTCTATTGTTACACCTGGACTGCCACCCACTACTACAATACTCCTTCCACCTAAAGGTTGCCTGATAGAGATCGCTTTTAGCGATAAGGCCGCCTTTGTACCCAGTACTATTGGATTCTGTAATTTTGTATAATGCATGTCAACTCTTTTGGTGTACAATAAAGTTGATTTATTTATTATTATTATTATTTATTTACTGAACGTTTCAAGATGGCCACCAGTTGCTGGCTCAACTCGTTACAAACAACATCACGTTTTCATCCCTCTTGAATTAAAGTCATCCGATTTATTAAAAAGTTTCGTTCTTAATTTATTCTCTGCTTAACCAGCATCAATTGGATTCGTTAAAACTTTTCAACTTCGTCGTCTTTTCATAAATAACATTTTTATTTAGTACATAAGCGAAAAATTTGTGTCAAATACATTGTTTTAAAGGTTTTTATTACTTGAACATGATACTAGCTAATGATGTTTTAAAATACATATAGTAGTTTAAAACGGGGTAAAATATTAAGCAGAATCTTTTAAAGTGTGGGAGGAGAGAGAAAATGCTTCGGCACGAATGGTTCGGCTCGACCAGAGTTATACCATGGCCTTATAGAAAACAGGCGTGAAACAACCACAGCATTGTGTTTCGCCGTGTGAGTGGGGTTACCGGAGGCCCAATCCCCTTCCCCAATTCGTAAATTTCCAAATCCCTAATCCCAAATGGTCGGCAACGCACTCATAACTCCTGTGTGCTTGCGGGTGTCCATGGGCAGCGCCGATTGCTTATCATCAGGTAATCCGTATGCTCGTTTGCCGACCTATCACATAAAAAAAAAAGTGAAACCTGACGCCATGACTTTCAATCCTTGAGTAGACCCTCAAGGATTAAAAGGTTAAAGAAGTGCATTGTGTAATAATTATCTACTTTTTACAAGTTACATAATAACGGACTGGGTAACCAGCTGTGCAACGTGTCGCGGATTGGATTCCCGCACGGAATTACCTTTTGCGTGATCTATAATACTGTTTTTCCTGGTCTTAGTCGGTAGGATACCTAAAATTTTATGTTTCTAAATACACCTGCGTCACACAAATAGCTTTACTAAGAGGACTGACTGACCGTGTAACAATTTTATCTTTCATTTTTGTTTGACGATCAAAAGTATCTGCAGTGGTCTACTTAATTGACGTAAATGATTTTGACTTTTAACTTTTGCACAGGAGAAAAGCTTTTTGTTTGGCAATATTTATGTTGAAAAAAATATATTATATTATGGTAGGTATAGGCAGCAAACCTGACTGATCAGCTGATGGTTAGTGATCTGCGTCGCACATGGAAACCAAAAGAGCACGGAAAACACCAAAGGAGTCATGAGGAGAGTGCGATGCCGGCCTGTTCGCAATTTTTATTGGTACTGCATCATAGGAGACAGCCTTCAAGTAATATAGGGACACAAAACATTAAACATAACTGGAGTTTTGAGCAAGAACTGACCTCTGTAGTACTTTACTCTGCAGTGCCAATATAGTATAGCCACATTTAAATAAAACAATACAAAATTGATCGATACAATATGTTTATTAAAACATGAACTGGATACAATTAAATATTATAAATCTAATTCTTACTTCATTTGAAGTAATGTAAAATAGTCTCACTGTATCTTTGTTTTTATCCAAACTATATATTATTATGAATGCGAAAGTAACTCTGTCTGTCTGTCTGTCAGTATTTTCTTCACGCCTAAACTACTTACTGAACCTACATACTTGTGTGGAATTTGTTAACTTTTTTTTTGAACTCGAGAAAGGACCAAGGATAAATTTTTGAAACCAAAAACCAGCAGGAAATCATTATTCGAACGCAAACATAGTCGCAGGCAAAAGCTAGTACTTACATAAACCCTGATTCAGAATCTTTCATACATTGAACTTATACATAAATACGCCTTGATTAAAAACAAACAATTTTGCAAAACATTATTGCAAGTACAATTGAATAGACTGATGGATAAATTAGCAAATATTGTCATGAATAGAAACTTGTTGAATTTTGAGTGGCGTACTACACGTATCCAAGTGACCTAGTTCTCGAAAATAGAGATGACACTGTATCGCGACTGAACCATCATCATTGATAGGACAATTGTTTCTAACAAATCATACACTGTGATGACAGATTCATCATTCCGTCGCACAATGACGATTGACATAACAATCTCACATGACGAGATTCTCTTTAAAGCTAATTAATTAAATCTCTCTCTATTTAATGTGAACTTAGGTGGTAAGGTACAGTTAGGGGTCAAAAATACAATTACACTCTACCAATTTTAAAATGGCTAAAATTTCTTTGTAGAATTAAAAAATCAAAGGCTTGATTATTAAAATATAAAGAAACATATGAGGAGGCATTCTGGACACGGCACTTAATGTCCGGATTCCTCTTTGCCATGCCATAGCTTGAATTCCGCCAGGCAGCGGTGGAATATTTTTACTCTTTTATACATGTTTTTATAAATTAAAAATATATAATACAAGTGATAATTAAAGTTGTAAGTAAAGTGTTACTCTCAGATATGAGGATCAGCGTTTTAATTCATTCCTACTAACTACAAACAGGACACTGCTCATCTCCTGTTAACTCTAAATACCTGAAATATTAAAAATAATTTGTGTTAAAATCAAATCAGTTAATACGACTTGAAACACAAACGTTAATATATAAAAATCTAAAAAAATATATAATGTAGGTTTCCGAAAAAGGGACAAAGATAGAAAGATAGAGATGAAAGATTTTAATGTTTCTATACATATTACCTATGTACTTAAAACACGTAGGACAAAAAAAAATTGCCTAAAGAATATTAAAAAAAATCACAGTAGTATCCATGGTTTATACTTGATAATTCTCATCAAAAAGAACGCATCAATTTTTATAAAACTTTATAAAAAATACAAGTACCTCGTTTTACTCATTTTACTTTTAAAGAGATAGCAAATAATAACAAAACTATATAAAATAAAAAAAGTAATATAAAGGGTCACTCACCTTTTACATGAAATACATTGAACAAATACGAAAGTGTAATCTTTTGGGCATCGGCATCGGCCGTCTCTTTTTATAATATTTTGTCTTTTGATTCTTATATGTGGAGCTTCTGGGTAGTCGATTGTTAGGTCGTCGACTGGCTGGGCATCACACATAGCAGCACACAGCACCACAAGCACGAAAAAGCACAGGAATTTCATGACTTAAATAATATAAGGAATCGTCTGCACGTCTGGATCACAGAAAGTCTAATGACACGCTACATAAGACTGGGCCCAGTTTATACCTCCTATATGTATTATAATGAGTCAATCAAAACAATGTTTCTAATATTGTTATTAACTGTCGTAAATAGGTACATCATAGTACAAACAAATTCGTTTTCCGTGTTCAATTGTTTTTGCTTATCAAAATAATATGTTGATGTCGGAAATACCCAAAAAGTATTCTATGTTGTTAAAAATTGTATACCTAACGTAATTTAAATATTAATGTTAAAAGGTATATCTCTGTATATTAAATATGTTATAATCTAACAAATTTTTTTTTATGTAATAGTTCGGCAAACGAGCAGACGGATTACCTGATGGTAAGCAATCAGCTCCGCACATAGACACCCGCATCGAAGGAGTTACGAGTGCGTTGCCGACCTTTTAAGGGTTAGGGATTTGGAGACTCAGGGATTGAGGACTCCGGTAACCTCACTCACACGACAAAACACAACGCTGTGGTTGTTTCACGCCGGTTTTCTGTGAGGCCGAGGTATCACTCCCGCCGAGCTGACCCATTCGTGCCGAAGCATGGCTCTCCCACACTTGTCAAAAATCTAGTTAAGAAGACGCAATAGTAGAGATTTAAAAATAATCAATTTATTATTTCATATACAATTCTGAAAACACTATCGTTTTCCAAATGTTAATAAAAAATTTGGAAAATTACTTGTTAAAATAATGTCGTATTCTAGACTATATGCCATTGCTAAGGATTTTTTTTAAGAAATATACATAACTTTTCTTTTTAAACCTCAGACACAAATTCTCCTGTGCCTTTTGATTACAAAATGTATGTATGCGCGGTATGGCGGAACACACAAAAAGTTTCACGGAGCATCACGGAGGCCGGTCGCTCAACCACCACACCAACCATGCAGTGTAATCTCAATAAAAACCACATCAAAATCAACTTATCAATTTAGGCATAAAATTATACATAAACATATACACAAATTCAACACACAAATATCCTATCAACTGTCAATATGTACATAAGGAGAACATGTGCGATGTACATACAACAACATCAAATTCACATACATAATATATGCTACATATGTATACGTCTCGGTAAATATTGGCGTCCCCAGGCGTTCTTGACTGTGACCTCTTTAAGAAAATTGTAAACATAATCTTCTAACTTTAACCGTCCTTATCCGGATGTGGGTGACCAGATCCAACATAGGAACTAGATCGTAGGCGTAGGGGTAGGGCCGAAAATGTGGTGGTGGCCCGGAGGTTAAAGCGCCCGCTTCTCATGCTCATGCATTTTCAGTTCGAAACCTGGCAAGTACCAATGTGACTCTTTCCGAGTTATATGTACTTTCTTTTGTTATTTAGACACCACTGACATACGGTGACGGTAAACATCGTGAAGAAACCTGGACTTATAATTTCTAATTAAAGTTTGAAATCGCCAACCCGCATTGAGCAAGCGTAGTGATTAATGCACCTTCTCCGTGTGAGAAGAGGCCTTTGCTCAGCAGTGGGCACTTAATAGGTTGATGATGATGATAATGAAACTTTAAAATTGTTAGAATAGTGATAAATAGACCAAATTAGTAACATCTTTGAAGACTCTAAGAATAATGGGAGTATTTACCAATATAATTATCTTCTTGGTAGATTTACCTGATAAATAACTAAATCTATGTACAGGCGCTGAGAGTCGACTGACTGCCGTGTGAATACTAATCTTACTCTTCTACACTAATATTATAAAGAGTTAAAATTCGTAAGTTTGTATGTTTGTAAGTTTGTATGTAAGGGGTAATCTTTGAAACCGCTGGTCGGATGACCAAAATTCTTTCACTGATAGATAGCTACAAAGTTCCTGAGTGCTATAGGCTATAAAACATCTCGCTACGATCAAATGGAGCCGAGCAGCGAGAGTAGCTAATAAGAAACAAAGACGGGTATCTATTGTACATTCCGGTCAGTTACCACATCTTTAGTTGTTTATTCTGAAACTTCCTTTGACTAATAACCGCGGGAAATATTGTTTGTTTGTTTATTTTGTCCGATCATAGTATTATACAGATCTTTGGTAGTTTACAAATTGTAAAGGGTAAGTATACAAGGATCTAATTGTAAAGGTCACTTATATTTTTTGTGTGATAGGTAGGTCGGCAAGCGAACGGTCTGCTTATATTATTACCTAATGACAAGCAATCGGCGACACCCATGTATAACCGCAACAACAGAAGACTTGCGATGCGGGCTTTTTTGGGGATTAGGGATTTCGAGATTTCGGGATTGGGGGAGGGGTAGGATTGGGCCTCCGTTAACCACACTCACACAGCGAAACACAACGCTGTGGTTGTTTGAAGCCGGTCCGGTGGAGCCGATCCATTCGTACCGAAGCATGACTCTCTCTACATTTGACAGAAATCGGATAACAGCGCTTTCTGATCGATCTGAAACTTAAACTGCATTACAACCTGCTCATCAAACATTGAGACTATGGATTTCTTTTATGGCCTAATGCCTATTTATCACTAGTCACTAGATGGTATAAAACAAAGTCGCTATCTCTGACCCTATATCGGTATGTAGGTATGCTTCTATCTTTAAAATTACGCAATGGATTTTGATGCGTTGTGTTGTGTGATCCTGAAGCTCGACATCACACTCATAACTCCTCCGTTGTTGCGGGTATCCATGGGCGCGCTGATTACTTTCCATCAGGTACTAGGATTACTCGTTTGCCGACCTACCAAATAAAAAAATATATGCCTTGGAATAGGGATCATAACAGTTTGATAATGGGTGTTTCAATTGTTTTGCAAGGTCTGAGATATATATTTAACAGTTCTGAGAATAATACTAAACAAAAAGTCGTATTTCTCGATCGAGAATATTTCGGACAAGAATCTCGTCAACTGCCGAGGCAGCCTTCAAATCACCAAATAACATAAATCAAATAAAAAAAATTGACGCCAGCAAAGATTTTTCCGTAATTGAATCTCCATTGTTATACACAGATCAATTTGTTGGGACTTTAATTTAATTTAGCTTACAAAGAAGCTTATAAATTGGCGTTGGGTTTCGCGCTAAAGAAGTTTGTATTATTTTACTAAAGAGGAAACCTTACTCGTGTTACGAAACTCACAAGGAGTAACATAAAAGGGTTACAGACAGGTAATGAGGAGGAAAACTCATTTTTTTAATGGCATCGAGCGGCCAACGACTGTACCGAATATCGAGGGTCATTTGATGGACTTTTGCCGTAATCGACACGCCGCACTTTTTAACGGTGTCTGAGTAAATAGTGTATTGTTTTGTTGAAGAATTATCCTTTTTCTCAGAGAATTCAGACAGGAAAAGCCGGCTTCATCTAGTTTCTTATTCTTACATAATATAATTTTGAATTGTAAATGTGTTGTTATTGCAAAAATAAATTCATTGTTTTGTTGACTATTGGGAATGAAGGTGGAAGAGCTGATTGGGCCGCTAGTTATGTCACTCATACAACGAAACACTACGCAATGTTTGTTTCACGTCGGTGTCCTGTGAGACCGTGGCATCACTCCAGTCCAGCTGGTCAACTCACTTTCTTACTTCCTATGATTATTATATATACACTACAAACGGTGAAGGAAACCATCGTGAGGAAACCTGGACCTATAATTTTTAGTCATTATGTTTGAAATCCCTAATCCGAATTGAGCAAGCGTGATGATTAATGCTCAATCTGTGAATGTGAATGAAGAGGCCTTTGCTCAACAGTGGGCACTTATAGGCTGATGATTTGTGATATCGCGACACGGTTTTTCATATTTATTTATCTTCCAATTCATGAAAATCATGAAAACTACTGAACGGATTTTAATAAAACTCATTACTCATACGCGTCACATGAAGGTATAAGAGTTTAATTTAAGTGTGGGAGAGTCAAGCTTCGGCACGAATGGGTCGGCTCAACCGGAGTGATACCACGGCCTTACAGAAAACCGGCGTGAAACAACTACAGCGTTGTGTTTGGCCGTGTGAGTGAGGTTACCGGAGACCTAATCCTTTCTCTCCCCCGATCCCTCCCCAATCCCTTAATCTCCAAAACCCTAATCCCTAAAAGGTCGGCAACGCACTCCTCCTCCGTTGCGGGTGTCCATGGGCGGCGCTGATGGCTTACCATCAGGTAATGCGTCAGCTCGATTGCCGGTCTATTACATAAAAAAGGACATTTACGGAACATTCTTTATTCGAGCTGATATTCATGAAATTTCACATGAGTTTCATTAAAACCAGTTCAGTTTTCATGATTTTTAACATGAAAGTTTAAATGAAAAGCCTGTGACCTGTGAAGTCCTAATAAAAGTTATACCTATATAAAAGTAGAACAGTGATGTGACGAGAATAGATAAGTAATAATTAGTTTTATTATATATAGGGGAAGTTAAAAATAGCTCAAATTACAGACAAATTGAAAACACACATAATGGAGTCCACATAAGCTTAATTAGCTGCGAAAAAGTAATTTGAGTAAAACAATGTAAATTTTTTTATGTCATGGGTCGGCAAACGAGCTGGTCGATTACCTGATGGTAAGCAATCATTATTAGGGCCTTCAGGTTATTGGGATGGATGGGATTCGTGGATTGAAAATGGGGGCAAGGATTGGGCCTCCGGTAACTTTACTCACACGGCGAAAAACCATGTAAGTGTTGCTTCACGCCGGTTTTCTGTGAGGCCGTGGTATCACTCCGGTTGATCACATTCGTGCCAAAGCATGGATCTACCATACTTAATTGTTATACGTTATTTAACGAGCAATGTATAATGTATGATGGATAGATTTAATGAGACATATAAAATGAGGAAAAGGAATGTTATGTGATGGTAATGGAAGCATAACACATACATACATAAAAAATTATACCACAACATTCAAATAAAAAGTAAATAACAAACACACAGAAAAATCGCCT